ATTCTACTCGAGTCACATTCTGACCTCGTTAATTATTCGCTTACCAATCTTGACTGTTTTTATATGAGCGCGTAGGTGTGTGTACATTTCTTATCCCATTAGTCATCACATGTCTGTAACTTACTTTTGTGTTACTACAAATATCGATTAACGATTGGTTAAATGGGAGTTGGCTTACCAGCCATCTCCACTCCGCGTCCTTTCTCTTCTCTCTATTCCATTTGCCTTATATACAAAATATATGCATTCACAATTCTATTCTCGTTATTCGACTTATGTAATTCCGTTTTTGAATAACGCGATTTAAGTCGATGATAATATACGAGGATAGGTGATAACAAACATTCATACGACCTAATTGGAGTCAGATCCACAGGCCACTAAACCTTGCTCTTCTCTGTTTCAACTCAGGATTCCATTTTAGAACTTGCTTCGAGATGCGGTTTAGTGATTTGCGTGATGTATGTCCTATACATTTCCATCGTCTTTTCCTAAGTTCCTCTTCATTTGAAAGCTGGTTTGTTCTCTTTCATATTAGGCTGTTTCTAATGGTTTATAGTCAAAGGACATTCAGGATCTTGCCCAGACAACTATTTATAAACGCATGTATGTTTTTGATAATGGTCGTGGTAGTTCTCGAAGTTTCAACTTCGTACAGAAGAACTAAATTTCCTGACGTTCGTAGTGAATGTCCTGATTTTTATATTGGTTGACAGTTGTTCTCAGTTCTATGTATTTTTCAGATGAAGGAATGCTGCCCTTGCTGTGCCAATCTTTGCGTTTACGTCTACATCGCATCCTCCTTGTCCATCAATGGTTCTGACTTGCTACGTGTAAGACCCCAACTCTCCAAGACTTTCTCCACTAATTGTGATTCGGTTGCTCTCCATGTTGTATTTGGGGATCTTGTCTTTTCTTTTTTTATGTAGAGGCCTGCTGTTGAAGAGGCGACTGCTACACGGTCTGTCTCCACATACATTTGTTAGTGCTTATGGGATAAAAGAGCTAGGTCATCTGCTGAAATCAAATCGTAGTTTCATTTAATTCTTCTTTTTCCAGGACATCTGGAAACGATGAAATTTAAATTAATAGGCATTTTAATCGTACTTTTGTCATTGCTATATAATACCACATGGCTCCTTATATGAAAGACGAATAGATGTTGCCGAATATAGAGAGCTATTAGAAGTGCCTACAAACGACAAGATCGTCAAGCTCAAACCTCTGACTGGTCATGTCTTAGGGACATCACTACCTCACTAGGGATGAAGAAAGATGCGGTTGTAAATAAATCCCCAAAACAAGTAGTTCTGTAAGTATTCAAGATGGATGCTGACCTCATTAGTTTTAGTGGACACATATAGCTGAAGGTGCTTGGTCACGCATCCGTATCAGATCACGAGTGAATACGTCATGCTATCCATCCTTTTCAACTGTTAGCAAGTTTAGATTAGGCGTTCCATCAACATACCGATAACCCTCCAAATATAACTTCGAATTCCGTTTCTGACCTGGGATTTGACTAATTTGGCACACTTCGATTCTAAATGTGCTACAAGTAAAGGCATTGTCAAGCCAATAATACATGTAGCCTATTTAGAACTATCTCATTCACTTTGCACTACCAATATATTTTCAGATTTAATGTCAACTTATCATCAAGATTTAAAAATTGCATTCAAGAACAACATGCTCTAGTGAAAGGATCAGGTCATTCGTAATAGGTTCCCAAGCTGCCAACTTTGAGGAAAATTTGGTCCATTTTGGGGAGGCCGCTATAGTAAATTTTGGGGAAATGAGACTAAAAACCCAAAATTTCCTCAGACCTGGGGAAATCCCCAAAACTTTCCTAAACATTGGGGAAGGTTTTTCACTTTGGGGATTTCCCCAAAATTCTCCAAAATTTATCCAAAGCTGGCAGCTTGGGTTATTATGAGAATATTGTTTATATATTTCTTATTGTTCATTGGACGGTTGTTATGACAATAAAGCTTAAGAAATATTTAAATAACAATAATATCCTGGTTTTGGTGGATTTATGTATTTAGATTCGCTTACTCCGACAGAGGAGCAAAGTAAGCTTGTGTTTCACTACTGCTTTCTCAAAACGTACGTAGTGTTGCTTAATACTTTGATCCCGCAGGTTAAAAAATATCGAGATCCGATCTGATAGCTTTGCATTAAAATTAATGTTAACATATGTTAACATATTTAAATTCATGTATGTATCGTAGATATATATTTTAACATATTATAAGCCATAAAACTATAGTAAGTGAAGATTAGTGATATTTTATTTCACACGTATAAACATCCAATTTGTTGGATAAAAAATTTCATTGTTACTTCGGAAATATTTCTATCGTAACATTCGTCAAGAATGCTGATATTTATAATTATACTTGTACTGGCGCATTGCTCGTCAGAATAAATCGCTTTGTGTTAGTCCTGCATGCGTCTACAAAGTGATGCCTCCTTATGTTGTGTCTGGTAAGGCCGTGAAGAAAGCGTCTAAGTTTAAACTGCTGAAGGTCGATAAGAAGAAGAAGAGCAGGAGGAAAGAGAGTTATGCTATCAACATCTACAAAGTTCTTCGTCAAGTTCATCCTGACACTGGTATCCCGTCGAAAGCAATGTCGATCATGATTTCGTTTGTGAACGATATCTTTGAGCGCATTGCCACAGTAGCCAACCGACTCTCACTATAACAAAAAGTTGACAATTTCAAGCCGAGAAGTGCAGACAGCAGTTCGATTGTTGTTGCCAGATGAGTTGGCAAAGCTCGCTGTATCTAAAGGCACGAAGGCAGTGACGAAGTACAGTGGTTCTAAATTCTTAAAAATCTTGCCTCGTCCAGATTTGATTTGCATCACTAGTTGATTACACACAGTCAATCATCATCCCTGCATGGCACATGTATGTCCCTTCTTTACAACTGGATATTGATATTAGATGTCCAAGCTCCGTTTATTTCCTCCCTCATTCCAATGTATTATTTCTCCTAAGAACTATCTTCTCCATTGTTTGCCATCTAAACATCATGCTTGAAGCATACAAATACCTACAGTTTTCGTTTATTTTGTATCAAGAGCATCTTCACTACAACAGAGTTATTTTATTCCTCAAAACGTTGATTATTTATCATCAACGAGTTGTTAAAACACCTTGAGACATGTTCTTAATAATCTTATTCCGTTGTGCTAATGTGTTATAGGATGCTGTACCTATACATTTGTTGGCTTTACGTTGCATATGACTTACTGATTGAAGTCGAAACCATGCAGGTGGTTTAAAAATAGTAAAGATCAATTCATCTTAGTTCTCAAACAGTTTAATAAGGAATAAGAATGACATGAGTAAAAATCACTCAACTGAATAAAAACTATTGAATTCTGTTAACTATTGACTCAGTTAATCCCACAAATTACAGAAGTGACGAGTGAAAAATGAGACAGGCAATTCACAAAATGTAAAGGTATTTTAGAATTGCAAATGTTATATGATAAATTAAGTGAATACGCTTCTAACACGTATACAGAGCTGAAATACAGAATATAAGAGCAACCATAACAGAATAACTTAAAGTGTGTCACTGACTTATCGATTAGTCAGGAGCTCACGTATTTTGTAGGAAATGCGTGGTTCATTTTACGGTACTGATGATTTTCAAGGCGACAATCACTTCGCAGTTTATCTTTACTTCTCTTATAAATTTATTTTCTGCGTAATTCATGTTCTAATTAATTACAAAATTATATATTTCGGGATTAATACTTTCAAATAAATTTAAAAATCTTTGAATGCCACCAAATTCTAATCTACCTAAAATATCAATATCTTTCTGAGATCAACTATCAAACTGTACGAACTTATATGCGTAAGTAAGTTGTAAATTCACAATTTGATTAAGAGAGTACCATTGAAAGTAAGAAACATGTATGCATAAGTTCCAAGAGTTTTATGTATAATAATTTAACTTTGGGTTATCATATTCATTTGAAGTAAAAAACAAAGTATGTACTTAATCCCAGAATTAAAAATATTTCATTAATATGACTGTGATCCGGCATTAAATTGTACTTGAATATTCAATCGAGCATCTGGAGAAAATATGGATTAAAGATGAGTTAACAGGTGTATTATTGATGAAAATCTAAATGAATTGACGCGACTTATCAAATTGTCTGTTTTTTTGAATGATTAACAAGACATTGTAACTGTTTCATTTTTATTTATAAGTGTGGAAGCATATTGTGATATAGATGCCTACAAAGTCAGTCAGTCAGCCAGTCTACTCGATGTAAGACTTGATACATCTATACATCATTCCAAGTTGCCACACCACACTAGCACAGTGAGGTAACATTATTTTAAGACGAATCCTAGAATAGTATGAGTAATAATAGTATCAGTATTAGTAGAAAAGATAAAAAGCCTATAAGAAGATTTTGCCACTCAAATTCAAGGGAAGGACAAAGAATGAATGTACGAGTGCCATTGCAAGCGATTTTGAGATAATTTGCTGAAAGTCTCTAACCACTAATCATATAGAGAAAAACATGGAACTTAAGATGCGATTCCAGCTTTAACATACCAGACGTATGAATGACTGGATATATGTGATCTGTTATATATATTTTTCTGCACCATTTATTTGTCATAGTATACGTGCTATCCAGGAGAGTAATGTGTTCTTCATCTAAATTCAGTTGAAGTATAATAGATTGGTCGCTAACTGGGTGCCTCGGAGGATGTGCACCAAGTATATACACGATAATATCTTCCAGTTCTTCTTTCTAAAAAATCAGACATTCCATTAGTGGTCAGTAAAAACCCTACATTCATCCTCTTTTTTCTTCCTCTCATCATTTTCTAATCTTGTATTGTTATCATTTTTGTTTTAGAATTACTCAGCAGCCTATTCACCTACAATTTAACAACATTTCCTAAACAGGATCAAAAGCATCAGTCTTGATTTTGTTTCATTTTTCGTTACACAAATGGTTCAAGTATTTTGTCACAAAAATCTATATCCATTTTATAGGTATCACAAATCAACGCTTATTATTCATTGAAAAATAAAGCGGATAATTTTAACTTACTTTGTATTGTGGAATCTATCATTGGTGGTCTTATGCTTGAACAACCTAATAATCCTATTGAATATATTAAAAATCGTTTAATTGATACAAAACATATACAAGAACATGTTAAACTACATAAAGAATTATATATTTGGCCACATCATCCAATATTAGATTCATCTAAATCACTTACAACTAATGAACATCATAAATTTCTTCAAAATTGTTTCTATCATCGTATAAAACGTTTACAAGAAGATAAATTGTTTCTTGAAAATGAATCTAAACCTATTGAAACTACAAATCCATTATTTTCATTAACAGAACTTGATTTAAATCCATAGAGGATTTGATTCAATGCAACATTATACTACAAGATTGCTAAAAAGATATAATAGACACATATGTAATCTATTCTATGAGAAGCTTTTTAAGTTTTGTTTTATGTCTTTTGACAAATCATTAGTTGTATAGTACTATGTAATTTAGTAATTTAGTTTCTGAAATATACACTTATTGTTTGTAATACTTCAGCAGTCTTCTAATGTCTTAACATCTTTATTGAAATATATAATCTTGAATATGTGAACTATTATGACTTTAAAACTAGGCTTTTTAACATGTGATTTATTCGTCAATAAAAATATGACTTACACAAACCTTAGTACTGTGCCAAACCAATAAAATTCGATTGGTATAGGCAGCCTAGCATCCTTGTTGGTCTTTTGTTTGCCTAGCTTTTCCAATTGAGTACAGAACACCAGTAACAGCTTCCACCATGGGAATCATTTATTTTAAACATAATTGGTTTATATATTAGCCACACAGATCACATCACACCAGAAAATAGGGAATAATATTTATACAAGATCAAGCCAAAATGTGACTGTGAGCATCGAAGACTGTAATCAATAAACTGAACATAACTTATGAGCAGTAAATTGTATAATAACAATCTATGAATTAAAATGAAGCTTATAGTAAGAGGAATATAGATATACACAATCTAGTTACTGAATAGTCATATAATAGGAATATATAGGTAATATTAACTCATTATTAGTTCTCAGAAGTTACTCGTAATTTAATCTTCACTAGGATATAACAAAAACCATGATTTATTGGGACAATGTTAACATTTATTCACTAGTTTATTTCGTAGGAACTCCGCCTGTAGCTCTCTCGGAGTTACTACCAGTCACAAGCCCGGGTAAAGGAGAAGGGCCGTGCATGAGGTTAGCGACCCCATCCCGTAGAGAACTAACTAGCTAAAAAACGCTAACCAGAAAAAAATAATTCAAACCATTTAAACTCTGCCCTGGGAGTTAAAAGGTCTTCATTTAGAAGAACTATGACGCCTAATGGTGAAAGACGAGTTCCTTCGCAAGCCACGAGTCCGATGCCCCTTCTAACAACCAGAGCAATAATTTCCATCGTCCTTTCCTAATTTCCTCTTCAACTGGAAGTTGGTTTATTCTCCCCCACAAAAGGATGTTACTGATGGTATCTGATCAATGGATGTTCAGTGTATTGCGTAGACAACTATTTATAAATACTTGTACCTTCTTGATGATGGTTGTGGTAGTTCTCGAACGTTCAGCTCTGTACAGTAGAACTAATTGGCTTGACATTCACATTGGAGATTAGAACTTTGATATTGGTTGACAGTTGTTTTGAGTTCCATATGTTCTTCAATTGTAGGAATGTTGTTGTTGTTTTGCCAATCTTCGCCTTTCCGTTTGCATCTGATCCCCCTTGTTCATCGATGATGCCTCCCAGACACGTGAAAGTTTCCACATCTTCCAGAGTTTCGCCATCAATTGTGATCGGGTTGGTATACTTCGTGTTGTAGTTGAGGATCATTTAACTAATAATTTTCTGTTTCTTGTTTTTTTTCTCTCTCCTCATTTTCAACTACTTAAAATTCTTCCTGTTTATTTGACTTTACTTCTATTTAATTATAAAACTTTCATTGTTCATTAGAGTCATGTTTCCATTCTTAATTATTAGTTATTAAAACTAATTATTATCATTTTAACATTATTCAACAGAATGTTTTACCTCTTATCTAGTCGGTCAATTACGTCCTTATACCCTATACAACTGTTGTGTATATTAATTATACCTGTCGACAGATATAATTACACTAATGTTAGTCATTGCTTACTACCATATTAAGGTAATATGACCGGTGACTGAGATTATATTATTATTAGACTGGATACTTGATCGGTGTACTAAACACAAACTGGGATCATGTTATAAGAGATAGATGATAGTAGTACGACTTCGCCTTCGGACTTTGGGTTTGCTGCTTTTAGTCTTATCGTTCTTCAACCTACCTGTCTGGCATGGTAGAACCTTGAGGAACGATTGTTCCAGTCAGTATAGGTCGTTTAGTTCATCACAATACGGAAGCCTGACCACCACCTCAAGGTAGAAACAATGGTCGAGAAATAAATGATAGGATTTAAGCGAAACTTTATTCAAAACAGCTTCAGTCTACACATGGATTGAAAATGTAATGTTTAAACAATGAAAAAGGAGAAAATAGCAAACAGAAAATTCATTGAATGTTTTTACATATTCGATGATTTTATGTGCATCTGCAGTATTGTGAGGACGGAACACGGGTGAACTCAACGAAGCTCTAAAGAGTTCACAAAGAGCCGAAGATATTCTATCGAATCATATTTTAGAAGAATGTTCCAGTATCTTTACGTGTAGCTTCCCTATTGGACAAATGCTAAATACCTCCTGTATGAGGATTGGATGACTATAATGATGATTTCATTTTTACTAAAAAAAACAACTGTGAATACCTGAGAGTTTTGTACTATATTTGACGCTGTTTGGAATAGTATTCCTTCTTACTTGTCTTCTGTTTTCTGATTTGCGATTTGGAGGGTTCTAATGTTCGAGTATTCAAGTTGTACTCGGTATATTAATAATCTCAGCTCTCAATATAACAAACATATTATTTTACACGACTTTTAAGGACTACTTTTAATTTGTAAGTACTATAAATATATTTCAGAATGTTTTCAAATTGTATCTGAGTAAACCTCATAAATATTTAAGCCCAAACTTTGACGTATTTGTTTACTTTCATCATATCCGGCTGAGCTACACTGATACATTTATAGCAGATTCTCCCGTATAATTTTAGTAAGATGAATCTGTTTATTTGAGGTATGGGTTTATTGTTATAATTAAAGTACCCTTGGCTTACTTTGAACTTTCCCTGTAGCTCTTCTAGAGTGACTGCCAGACCCAAGCCCTAGTGAAGGAGCAGGGGTTAAGCATGGGGTCGGTAACCTCATCCCGTAGAAGAAAATCTTGCTAAGAAACGCTGACCAGATTAGACAAATTAAACCACTTGGACTCTGCTCTGGGAGTTGAAGGAAGAATTGTGACACCTCAGGATGAAAGCTGATATTCTTCGGAAGTTATGAGGCCGATGCCCCTTCTAACAATCAGTGCAACAATTTTTATAGGTACATGGAACGTCCGGATAATGTGTGAGATCGGGAAGACCAGTGAAGTGGCAACGAAAATGAGGAGATGCAACTTGGCAGTACTGGGAATCGGTGAAACCCATTGGACCCATTGCACCAGCCAATGATAGCAACAACAAAAATTAGAATCAGTTCTACGAGAGGCTGCAATTAATCATAGCGGAGTGCTCAAGAAAGGACCTCACCATCCTGATGGGAGATCTAAACGCCAAAGTGGAATAGACAACACCGGATATGAAAATATCATGGGACGACATGGACTGGGAGAAAGAAACGAAAATGATGAGAGACTTACAAACTTATGTTCATTCAATAAATTGGTTATAGGCGGCACAATATTTCCACATAAACGTATACACAAAGCTATATGGATCTTACCGAACCACACCACGGAGAACCAGATAGATCATATTTGTATCAATAAAAAGTTCAGAAGGACAATGGAAGACGTGAGAAGCAGATGAGGAGCATTACAAAGTTCAATACAGCCTTCCTTCGAGATACTAACAAACTCAACAAATTCAACATAACTTTCAACAACAGCTTCCAAGCCTTACAGGATCTACTGAAAAAAGGATAAACTACTATGGAGGACAACCGTAAAGAGATCAATGAAGCACTAACTTCAACGCAACAGGAGGTGATGAGCCACAACAGGCATCATCATAAGAAATGAATCTCTGTCGAAACCCTGGATCCATGATTCAAGAATGGAAGAACAAGAAGACATCAATTAGCAACAGACAGCCGAACAACAACAGAGGAAGTCAAGGCACATACCAAATACACTGAAGCAAACAAACAAGTGAAGAAGAGCATTAGAGCCGACAATCAGAAATACGACGAAGACCTATCAACGATAGCGGGAGGAGCTGTAAGAGAAGGAAATATCAAACAACTATATGACACAATGAAGAAACTAGCAGGGAAATATAGTAAACCAGAGAGACCAGTCAAGGACAAAGAAGGCAAGACAATCACTGAGATTCTAAGACAGAGGAACAGATGGATAGAATACTTGGGGGAACTCCTGAAAAGACCAACTCCAGTGAATCCAATGGAGGTCGAAGCAGCACACACGGACCTTCCTATAGATATCACTTCGCTAAAGATCGAAGAAATCAGCATGGCTGTCAGACAAATCAAGAGTGAGAAATCAGCAGGATCTGACAGTATATCAGCCGAAGTACTGAAGTCAGACATAGAACTAACTGCAAGTATGCCTCACCTTCGATTCAAGAAGATTCGGGAAGAAGAACAAGTGCCGAAGGACTGGAAAAAAGATATCTCATCATGACGCTAAAGAAAGGTGATACGAGCAAGTGTGAGAAGTACAGAGGCATCACACTACTGTCAGTACCAGGAAAAGTTTTCGACAGAGTGTCACTGAACCTGATAAAAGATTCAGCAGACGCTCAGATTCGACATCAACAAGCCAGTCTTGCACTGACGAAATTGCGACACCATGGATCATCGTTCAACAGTCAGTTGAGTGAAACTCGTCACTACACATCAACTTCATTGACTATGAGAAGGCGTTTGACAGTGTGGACAGGAGGACATCATGGAAACTTCTTCGACACTATGGAGTTCCTGAGAAGGTCGTCAACATTATCCAGAACTTATACGACGGACTACAGTGCGAGGTCGTGCATGGAGGACAGCTGACAGATGCATTCCAAGTAAGGACCGGAGTCAGACAAGGCTGTCTACTCTCTCCCTTCCTCTTTCTTCTGGTGGTCGACTGGATTATGAAGACCTCGACTTCTGAGGGAAAACACGGAATGCAATGGACATCTCAGAACCAATTAGATGATTTAGACTTC